CAAAGATTGATAAATTAGAGGAAGTCATTTTGGATTTATTAAGTTTGCGTTGTGCTTAACTAACTCGTCTGAGTATGTTGATAAAGAGCAGATGAAGATAATTTGATTGATACTGTGATGAAATGATCTGGTTATATGTTTATTTTCATATTGAGTAAGCCAGCAATCTATGATGGGTACCAAAATTCATTTCTGCCCAGTGACTGGGAGGGGCTTATTGCAAGGATTTCAACAAATTACTCAAGGCAGTTCAGGGGTCAATGATTACTTGAAGGGACTGAAAGTCAGTAGTTGTGAGAGTAGATTAGAATCCGAATCAGAGAATCCCTACAGTGTGGAAACAGGCCCTTTGGCCCAACAAGTCCACACCAACCCTCAAAGCATCCCACCAAGACTCATCCCCCTATAACCCACAGACCCCTGAACACTACAGGCAATTTAGCATGGCCAATCCACCTAGGCTGCACATCTTTGGACTGTGGGACAAAACCAGAGCACCTGGAGGAAACCCATGCAGACACAGGGAGAACGTGCAAACTCCACACAGACAGTTGCCCAAGGGTGGAATTGAACCTAGGTCCCTGGCGCTGTGAGACTGCAGTGCTAACCACTGAGCCACCATGCCGCCCTAACATAGATTCTATGTTAGAAGTGACAATTTTTAAACATCTTGATAAGGAAGGCAGCTGAACTGCACAGATTCTATATATGAAACACTGTGAATCAAATTCCAAGAACAGTTGGATATCTCTCTGCTGTTAGAACTCAGGCCAAGTTGATTTGATTTGATTTGATTTATTTATTGTCACATGTATTTTCTTACAAAATACAGTGAAAAGTGTTGTATAGTGTTGCCACTCGCTGGCACCAAATTAAAATACTGAAAAATAAACCAAAACATACAATATAAGGGCAGAAGAATAAAGAAATAAAGAATGAGTTTTTAACCTAACTCTTGTTAAGTGCTCCATCATGGGCATGGTGACCAGGCATGAGTCCCCTTCACTACGCTGCTGCAACGGGAACGAAAGTCTCTACTCTTCAGGGTCATCTTGCCTCCACCAATGCTCTCACTACTGAGTCCTTGCTGGGCCTCACCAATGCAGACCCTATCAACGCTGGGTACTGCACCAGCCCAAACTCAACTCTGCTGCCGCCATGAGTCTACTTTGGGCCCACCTTGCCGATGCAGCCAAAGGGTCTCGTACTGGGCCCAAACTCACCTCCATGAATCTGCACAGGACACAGACGCCGCCAGGAAAAACCAAACTCGCCTCCACCGCAGCAGCCACAAGGCAGCGCTAGGACCACCTCGTCGATGCACCCAAATTCTCTCTGACACCACTATCATGAGTCTGTGCTGGGCCTACTCACCACTGTCAATGCCATTGCCATGAGCACTTGAGCTCTTCAACAACAGCTAAGTAAAATAAAAGAGGGTAAAAAAAAAGAAAAAAATGAAAAAAAAAAGAAAAGAAAAGAAAAGCAGATGAGAGAATGAGCCCTGGGCTCAGAAGCCCTACTCCACTGCCATCTTACAGGAAGCTACCAGAGTTCTTGGAGTTATTAGATGTTGCAGTCAGTGCTTGGTATAACTTCTGGAAGCTGCCGTTACTCACAAAGAGTGAGATGCCTAAAGAGGTCAGCATAACTAAAAGTGGAACTTGTAAAGCTACAAGCGGTACCAACTTGATGCAACTACACAAGATGGGAATTGTGGAGAGCAGTTTTCAGAGTTCAAGGGAGCATAGACTCTGGACAGAAGGATGGTTGACTAGAACAGGTGCAGTCATTGAAACAGTCTATGATGTGGTTTCAAGGATGGCCAAAAGTGAAGAATTATAATCCCTTGTGAAGTTTAAAGAGTTCTGATGGCCCACCATGCCATTGATAATGGGGGCAGGGAGTGGACGTTACAGAGAAATCTATGGGATCTGTCTTGACAGCATTTGCTTTTGGTATGAGTTGTGGGGTGTTCAGAAACAGTTTATTACCTATGTTCGCCACATATTGACTCCGGGTGTTGGAAATAAATTAAATATGTATTGTAGATTCTATCCTTGTTCTAACTTGTACAGTAAAGAATTGTTACTTGTTTAAAACTGTGAAATCTTGTGGCTTTGTTTTCTTAGTAAGTCTCCTGAACTTCTCTTGTTGTCTACTTTAAAAATAAAAGATTACTGGTACTTAAACAGGTCATAACATAATTTAACGGGCTTATCCAGTTTTATTACATAATTAGGGGCTCATCTGGGCTCATAATAATGTAATATGTATGAGCTTCTTAAAGACTTTTGATAAAGTGCCATATAACATGCTCGACAGTAAAGTTAAGAATAAAAGAGGCAGCAGCATAAATATGACGTTATTTTAGTGACAGGAAACAAACAACATTAGTGAACAGTTATTTTTCATAATGTAGGAGGGTATTTGTAATGCATATTCCTGAGGATTGGTATTAGTTGAACTGTTTTTCTCGATCTTTCTTAATGATCTAGATTTAGAGCACACTTTAAAAATTTTTATTTGACACAAACTTAATGCTGTGAACTGCGAGGGTAATGGTGATAGACATTAAGAGAACAGACATAACAGTGTAATGGGCCAACAGAAGGCAGGTGAGTTTAATGTAGATAACTGTGAAGAGCTGTGAAAAAGCTCAAGGATAAACAATATAAAATAGGGCTAAAGTTCTAAAGGGAGTGCAGAACCAGAGGGGCCTGAGAGTTTATGGGTACAAATCTTTGAAAATGGCTAAGTTGAGAAATTTGAATAATAAGACATATAGGACCTTGGGGTTTATAAATGGAGGCTTAGAAAAGAAAAGCAAGGAGGCCACATCTGTTTGGTATCAACTCTGGAGAGACAAAACCAGAGGTCACTGATTTAAGGTGAATGGAAAGGTAACCAAAGGAAGTGAAAGTGTAAGTTGCCATAATCCCAGAGGACCATGGGGTGCTGTCTCATTAGAGATGGATGACTGATGGTGAGTTCAGCCTCGCCCCAAGCCAGGGGAAAGTTTGAGAGGGTGGAGCCTTCATGGCGGCCTAGCCTTTTATCACATCGCAAGTACTACACCATAGCAGGAAGCCACTTGGTCCATCATTCTTGTGCTAGTTCTTTGGTAAATCCACCCAAGAAACCTCACTCCCCTGCTCTTTCCTCTGCATTTTTTAAAATTATCTTTCATTTATCTTTCCTAACAACGTTAAAATAGTTAATAAAAATTGTATCCCTTCAGGCTCTTTGGAGAAGGGGATAGGAAAGCACAAGGGGAGAAAAGGTCTATAAGAATGTGCGGGACAGGAGTGATCAAATGACAAGGCTGATGGTACATTGCTTAAAACGAAATGTTCTTGCTGTTTCTCTCTCCACAAGTGCTGTCTTACATGCATCACCAACATCTTCAACAATTACAGCACTGAAAAGTGAAACGTTGCTAAAATCTATAGTCGTGCAATCATCAAATGCAAGGATGTCAAATGTTTACACAAATATAGAAGAATTTTTAATCAATCCATTCAGCAAAGTTATGATACAGGGCAGAGATAGTAGGAACTGCAGATGCTGGAGAATCTGAGCTAACAAGGTGTAGAGCTGGATGAACACAGCAGGCCAAGCAGCATCAGAGGAGCAGAGAGGCTGACGTTTCGGGCCTAGACCCTTCTTCAGAAATGGGGGAGGGGAAGGGTGTTCTGAAATAAATAGGGAGAGAGGGGGAGGCAGATAGAAGATGGATCAAGGAGAAGATAGGTGGAGAGGAGACAGACAGGTCAAAGAGGCGGGGATGGAGCCAGTAAAGGTGAGTGTAGGTGGGGAATTAGGGAGGGGATAGGTCAGTCCAGGGAGGATGGACAGGCCAAGGGGACGGGATGAGGCTAGTAGGTAGGAGATGGGGTTGGGGCTTGAGGTGGGAGGAGGAGATAGGTGGGAAGAAGGACAAGTTAGGGAGGCGGGGACAAGCTGGGCTGGTTTTGGGATGCGGTAGGGGGAGGGGAGATTTTGAAGCTTGTGCAGTCCACATTGATGCCATTGGGCTGCAGGATTCCCAAGCGGAATATGAACTGCTGTTTCTGCAACCTTCGGGTGGCATCGTTGTGGCACTGCAGGAGGCCCAGGATGGACACGTCTTCTGAGGAAAACGGAGGCTTGGGGACCGCTTTGCGGAACACCTACGCTCGGTTCGCACTAAACAACTGCACCTCCCAGTCGCGAACCATTTCAACTCCCCCTCCCACTCCTCAGACGACATGTCCATCCTGGGCAGATAGAAGATGGATCAAGGAGAAGATACTAAACTCATCCCGCCCCCTTGGCCTGTCCGTCCTCCCTGGACTGACCTATCCCCTCCCTAACTCCCCACCCACATTCACCTTTACTGGCTCCATCCCAGTCTCTTTGACCTGTCTGTCTCCTCTCCACCTATCTTCTCCTTTATCCATCTTCTATCCGCCTCCCCCTCTCTCCGTATTTATTTCAGAACCCCCTTCCCCTCCCCCATTTCTGAAGAAGGGTCTAGGCCTGAAACGTCAGCCTTTCTGCTCCTATGATGCTGCTTGGCCTGCTGTGTTCATCCAGCTCTATGCCTTGTTATCTATGATACAGGGAAAGTGGGATGTGAACCTGGACCTTCTGGCCCAGAAGTAGGGACATGACAACTGCAATGATTACAACAATGGATACTACAGGAGAAACTCAGCAGGTCTGGCAGCATCTTTGGAGAGAGAAACACAGCTAATGTTTCAAGTTTGATACTGACCCTCTGCAGAACTACAGGAGGAGATCTTTTTGGCAAATTCACTCTGATTGGATTATAGATTTCCAACAACTTTGCTCTAACTTTAATTAAATGTGTAACTAAACAAAAAACAAATCTAACCAGGGCCTTACTTTGTTGGCAATGTACCTCACCACAAATGTTTCCCCATTGAAGACGCTGACGCCTGAGGGAGGGTGGGGATTTAAAATGTAAATGAGGGGGCGGGGCGCTGCGGCGGCGTGACGCCCGTGCCGTGGATTTGCACACGCCGATTGACAGCGGCTGCGGCCAATGAGGAGGCGGAGAGGGTGTTGAATGGGGCGATGTAGAATGTGGTGAAATGATACAGTGTCGCTGTGACAGACTGTGTTACTGTAGCAAGCTCTGGGACAAGTATCCGAGTGCTCAGCTGGCTTTGCAACTGGTATACATGTAGCAACAGGAACAACAATAAGACAGCTCTGTCTCCCAACCTTCTTCCCCCCCCCACCCCAAACCCACCCTCCTTTCAAGAGGGTCAAGATGTCGGTTGCCGGCTTGAAGAAGCAATTCCATAAAGCCAGTCAGGTAGGAGACGCCCCATGCCGCCAAGATCACTTTACTGCCTGCCCAGTGTGTGCGTGCGTGCGTGTGTGTGTGCAGCTTGCAGGATATGCAATCTCTCCTTTAATGGATTTAGACCCAATAGCGGTAGCTACAGGTTATGCAAATATGTATGCAGGCTGCTAGATAGCAGCACCCTCCTCTGCATAACGATTAATTACATATTCGGGCTTCAACTACATTAATATGACTTATTTTATCTCCCAAAATGCAAATGACTTTTTAATTTTTTTGTGGCATACTGAGACAGACAGTCCCCTCCCTTTCTTATTTATGTAAGCCATCTCCACAAATTCGGATTTAATTGTTGAAATAAACATTGCCCTCACTGGGTAATGCTAGCATTGAAAGACTGGTGGAGAGCAGACCTGGGTGTTTGGGCCTTTTTGGCTGCTTTCCCACCTCATCCGAGGGTGTGCTGGGCTGGCTTTCTAAGCGCGACTCACACTCCCCGAAAATGTGCTGCTTCCTTCGGAATTCTGTGTTCTGTATTGCATTATTAAAGCTCCAACTTGATAACGCATGCAGTATTGTGGCATTGTGCTTTTGGAAACTGCCATTCTGTTCAAAGTGAAATGTTTGTGTACATGTCTGTGATGTTTAATAAAATTGGATTGGCAGGGTTTGGTTTGTGATAGTTCAGAAGACCATTAATGACACAGAACGCATGCACCTTGTTTGATGAAACTGCTGCATTAAGGTGGATGAACGGTTGACTAGAAATGTAGACAAGTGTCTGTTGTTTCATTGTGGCAATGATAATGTGTTGTGTTTCCTTGATACAACCATTGGAGGCTACAGGCAGGCTGACAAAAGCAGCGACACACATTTTCAAAGAGCTGTAAAGAGGTTGACAAAAAATCTTAAGCATACCGGTGTGTGGTAAGACCAGCGAGGAGTGTGTCCTGCTGTTTATTGTTGTTTGAATTAGACTGATGGAGAAATTCAAATTCGTGTGATTTTTAGTAAACATGCTTTATTGATGTACTCTGTCAGTTATGTTTTAGTATATTTGTCACTGACAATCTGAACATATATGTGACTAACTTTTTAGCCTTACGCATGAAATGAATTGAGGATTGGACGCAGGATTTTTTTTTGAATTTTGTAATTCCTAAAAATTTGAACCACTTTGAGCTACCACATAGATGATGTACAATGGCGTCTACATCACGTGCTCCATTTTCCCCCATTTCTTCGTTCATAAGAAAACCTTTCTCCACATCTATATTAAGGCCATCAACCTTTAGAGATGAGAACCTGTTTTGAATTATGATTTGTTCATGTTGTCTTCTTGCAATTGTTATTTGCATGGTTGACATTTTGATACAGGCATTCTGGTTCCTGCATGGATAGTAGGAACTGCCGATGCTGGAGAATCTGAGATAATAAGATGTAGAGCTGGATGAACACAGCAGGCCAAGCAGCATCGGAGGAGCAGGAAAGCTGACGAAGAAGGGTCTAGACCCGAAATGTCAGCTTTCCTGCTCCTCTGATGCTGGTTCCTGCATGGCCTCTGATATGCAGACCTTACTTTGTGTTCCTGAACAAATTAATAAAACTTAAGTCTACTAAGGGTTGGAAGAAGTACAAGTAAGTTGCTCCCTCACTTGTCTTAGGCCTGACTAATCTGCGAATAAGTTCATCTGGCTGGTGAAGAGTGGGGTTGCATAGAGATTAATTGGGCCATTGTTGGAAGAAGAAACTGGTAGTTTTATTTGGGCAAGAGAAATTTGTATTGAACAGGAGCTGGTTAGAAAAGGACTGCAAAGAAGGGGATTTGAAGTTGGCAGTATTGATCTGAGAAATGAGTGTAGGAAAAACCACCAAATAGTGAGAAGAAGATTGCAGAACAAATCACGGAAAACTGGAAGAGTTATAAGTGGTTAAAAACAGCCCTTAAATTGCCATAATTTGGGATAACATTGTAAAAGAAAGAGGGAGCTAAATTCCTTCAATATTATATAGGAGAACATTTTCTTGATTAGTATGTTGCCAGCTCAAGAAGGATGGTAGCAGTGTTGGATCTAGTTTGGCAAAAACTGAGGCAACTGGAGGTACAGTCTCAGTGTACTGGATGACGCTATGATTCTATGGAGCATATTTCAGTTGGGGAGCGTTTAGGAAAGAGCAATCTTAATATCAGCAGGTTTACAATTGTTGTGGATGAGACCAAACAAATTAGGTATGTAAAAATGTAACAAAAGGATAGACAATTTCAGTGAATTCAAAAAGTCTCCACAGTTCTTGCCTGGATTCAGTTGCAAGTGTCTATTAGCTCTGTATTTTCCACATGATTGCTATTACATGAGAGGTTAAGCTACAAAAAGCAATCTAAAACTTTCAAGAAGACTATTTAAGTACTGACTTGTGCAGTTTTTAATTTAATGTCGCAAATAGTTCATAACTCAACAATGCAAAATAAAGACAGCAATAAATTGGAGCAGTTGGGACTGTTTTCTTAGAGACAATCTGATGGCACTATTCAAAATCATGAGTGGCCTGGGCAGATTATATAGGAAGAAACTATTACCACTTGTACAAGGTTTAAGACCAAGAGGACAGGGTAACAGGCAGAAAAATAGCACTAAGTGAAATGCATATTCAGTGAACCAGTACAGACTCAATGGGCCAAGTGACCATCTCCTGCACTGTAGCAACCTGATTCTAAAAGATTGCATTACATGAGCAATCTTGAAGTCAGGACAGAGAATGTGCATAAAAAGGGAGCACAATACTGAATATTTGGTTTTAAAAATACATTCCCTCCCAAAATGAAATACAATGAAAAGTTGAAAACTTATCACATGATATTTACTTTATATATTGTATGCCAAGCAAGTTTTGAAAATGTTATGAGCATAAACTGTAGAGAAACAATGGGATGATTGAAGTATCAAATTGTTAAATATTTTTGGGTGTTGTTTCCTATTTAATGTACACCCTTTTTATGTGTCTTATGTAGGGAGGGCTTCCCAGAATCAGCTATCAATGAAAGACCAAATGTGCTAAACTGAAATGAGGGTTTTGCCATCTGTATATCCCATATTTAAGCCACTGCTTCTTGTAACCAATCAGTAAGATGCATGCAAAGATAGTTGGAATTAACTTGTTGATGTTGTCTGCTGTCCCTCTCAGATATACTTGATGCATTTTTGTAATATTGTGCAGAGAATTGAGGGTACAAATCACGCATCTTTAGCCCCCTGTCAGCTGTCTTACTGTGTGCTGCACCACACTATTGAAGTCAGTGTGATTGTCTGCTGTTGTAATGCAAGTATGCCCCGTACATCCTACACAGAGGACAGGTGCCTTTCACGATGATGTCACATGTTGCAGTAAAGTCGAAAATAAAACAAAGAACTGCCGATCATGGAAATTTGAAACGAAAACCGAAATTGCTGGGGAAATTCAGCACGTCTGGCAGCATCCGTGGACTGAAAGCAGAGTTAACTGTTCTGTTGTTTTTGGAAGAAGTGTCTGTATCAGGGAATGCAGTTTGCGCATTCGTGTTTAGAATGCAGCATCCACAAGTGTGTTACAAGGTTTGTAGTTTAATCGGGTACTTTAGATGACACCAAAAGCTTTTGCAAGAAAAGGACAAGCTGTTCAAAACAGCTTTTCAAGCTTGAGATAATTTACAGCCTTGAATTCATGTTCTGTGTTATTTTGTATAAAAATGTATTTTGTTCTTTAAAAGTTAACTCACAAGGTATATTTTATTAAATACGGTCAGTTTGCCCTGCAAAGAAACGCTAGTTTCTTCAGATACTTGAATGCTGTCCTAAATATCACATGAAACGCTGTTTTCCCCATCACCAGCTTACCAGATATCATTATTTCTTCCTTTACGGTAATGACTACTTAAACTTGACAGTAGCTGTATTGTTTCTATATAGTGTGACATAATGCTTAATTCATTTATAAAGTAAAACAGTATGATCTTCAATATCATGTGCAGGATAGGAGACTGCAAGATGCTGTGGTCACCTCGCTTAGGCAGTTCCTTGGCCACAGCTTGGCTTTTGCTGTGAGGTGTTTACAGTTAAATGAGTAAATTTGAGAGGCTGTAGTTCTTCTTTAGAAGAAAATATTGAGAGAAGATTTGGTAGAAATGTATGAAATCATTAGGGGCGCAGACAGGCTAGAGTGAATCATTGTTGGTAGCAGTGGCTGGGAGCTAGAGGACACAGACTTAGTGATTTCCAAAGGAATTAAGGATCAGTCATGATCTAGAGTTGAAAGGAAGAATTACATTTTAAGGAGTGCCTTTCATGACCACTGTCTCAAATTGGTTGTAAAACACTTAAGGCTTTTTTTTGAGATGTAGTCAATCTTGGAATGTACTTGTATGCAGCAAACTCCCCATTTTTATGTTTAAATGATGCTAGTTGAGGGATAAATATTGGCCACAACGAAATGTCTCTAGATCATTCTCCATTGCAGCCACCATCAGCAGTAGTTGCCTTCTCTAAGAAACCCAGTCTTATCATGACTCTGCTGTGTTGCCTTTACTGGTTTGCCATGTTCGACCCAAAATCATCCAGAAACCTTCTGGAATTGCAACATCACGTGACTCATGGAGCTCTTAGAGGAGACCAGAACTGACAACCTGGAAGCATGCAGATGAGAAACACTGCTAACAGACTTTTATCATCCTTCATGCACTCTTAACAGCACTCTGACATCCTGTACACAACCTACGTTACATTCAGAGTGCTGCTGCCTCAAGCAGCCTGTTCAGTAAACCTGTTCATTGAATGCATATTTTCCTCCTATTGCAAAACAAGAAACCTGTTTAAACAAACTCAAATGGACTACAGAACTCAGGAATTCAAACATCTTGCATCTTTTAAGGCAACCATAATGTCGATTATTGGTGGGAAACCATTGACAGGATGGATCATACTCCAGCTGGTGGAAAGACATTTCTGGTTTGTATGATTCTGTACCTTACTTGTGGAAATGTGTTTTAGCAGGTGTAGTGCAGTACACGTGGTGTCCCATATATTGGCTGAGTAAGAGCAGTTGAGTTACCATCCACATGTAGTTAACATGTATCCTCCTCTTGTTACAGATATGCCACTCCCCAAAAGCAGCAAGCCACTTCCTGAATGACGAGTCTCACCCCAACATTGAGCCTCATCCAAGATTGAAGCAGACATCAGAACAGTTTATCTGGCTGTAATCTCATTGTTGCTTGTAGAAGCTTGCTGTGCATAAATTGACTCCCATGTTTCCAAATGTGACTACACTTCAAAAGTATTTAATTGGCTGTGAAGTGCATTGGATCATTTTAGAGGTCATGAAAGGCGCTGTTTAGATGTAACTTTTCTCTTTACAGATACTGAATAAATTATATCTATTTTCTGTTGTGTACACCAAACAGTGTGAAATGTGTTGGCAGTTGTAAATTGTATGCAAGTCCAACAAATGTGTCAAGCAGGTCAACGTGATATATGTAGTGTGTGGGTGAAGTGAGCTTGAAGCTTTTTGTTTTTTTGTGATGGCTTGCTTCTCGTTTTCAGGTTTCACTGTTGTCTAGCGGCAATCTGAGAAAGCAAGCCAAATGTGTTAGTCTTTTCCTGCCAGTACGGCCTCTCCATTGCCAAATCCTCAGCTGTGTCTACTTGCGGCAGCACCGAAATTGGTACCAAGCTGAAGCTTGAGAGGAACTCGGATGTAGTTTAGACCCCACACTGGCATTGTGCAGGCAGACCAGCATGTGTCATGCTTTGAGCCAAGCTCCTAGCTGTGGGTGAATAGCTTCACTGCCTTATTGGTACCTTGTGAAATCTAAAGGCTTAGGGAATAAACCCTGACACAAATCAAAGGAAGATTAATGTCGAAATCTGATCAGTTTTGCAATCAAGTTGCTGCCAAATGCCATGCTTTGCCTTTGGACTCAAGCAGATAGATTGATAAAGGGAACCCTGACTTTTGGGTAGTGAAAGGTATCCAAGTCTAGTCTTCTGCCCTGGCATATGTAGAGCATAAGCATTAGAGACAGCAGCTATAAATCATGAGTCCAACATGAATGGCATAGAAATGGGTTCTATGGGCTTTCTCCAACTGTGAGAAGGATCGTCATTTCTCACTGTTCAGCCAACGCCAACTTCAAGTTGGACAGCCCCTGATTAATAAGCTTGCTACATCATCTTCAGTTGTTGAATAGAGATTAATCCCTACTCATCAAACAGATGGATCCAGCATTAAAAGCTTGAAAAGATTTTTTTGAAAAAAGAGGATGTCAAATCTTTGGTAAGCTGGAACGTCAGGACCATTTGCTCTCGTTTGACTGTTTGCAGTTGGTGGATAGCACACACAAGACAACCATAATTGACATGGAGACTTGAGTAGGATTCTGGGAATGGACAGTAAGACAGAGAAAGCTTGAAAAGGAGCAAGAGGAGTTGTGTGGAAGGGCTAGCTTGGGAAATGGTTGTAGGTGACTTGCTCACCAGGCGTGTATCTTCAGGAGTAGAAGAGACACCGTTAAAATGACACTGATCACGTCATGCAAGCTCCAGACCCAGGCAGGGGAGCAGCAAGCAGGAGAGTCAAGGAGGGTCGTGGTGAGTGGTGGTGTCTCTGGGACTGGGAGAGGCTATTCCAAATTGGCATCAATTGGGTCTTGCACATTCTGTTGGCCCCAAGGCAAAACATTGCTAAAATGAATGTACTGATGCTAAGTGGGCATACCATTCCTATCAAATCCAGAACATTAAGCTGAAACATCTTCATTTAATTGCAACATTTTAAATCCAATCGATTTTGAGTACTATGTATATTACCTTCATTGATCTCATCAGGACATTCAGCCTAATGTGGACTATCTGTACTCAAGACACAGGAGCAAAATTAGGCCACTTGGCCCATTGAGTCTGCTCTACCATTCATTCATGACTGATATGTTTCTCAACCCCATTCTCCTGCCATATCCCCATAACATTTAATCCTGTTAATAAACAACCGATCTATCTCTGTTCTTAAATGCACTCAATGACTTGGTCTCCACAGCCTTTTGTGGCAACGAGTTCCACAGATTCCCCACTCTCTGACTGAAGAAATTCTTCTTCATCTCAGTTCTAAAGGGTCATCTCTTCACTCTGTGCCCTTGGGTCCTGTCTCTCCTACTAGTGGAGACATCTTCTCCACGTCCACTCTATCCAGGCCCCCTCAGTATTTTGTAAGTTTCAATGAGATCCCACCCATCCTTCTAAACTCCAAGTGCAGTCCAGAGTCCTCAACTGCTCCTCCATTTGACAAGTCCTTCACCCCCAGGATCGTTCTTGCAAACCTCCTGTAGACTACCTCCAAGACCGGCATACCTTAGATACAGGCCCAATACTGCTCACAATATTCCAAATTCGGTGTGACCATAGCCTTGTACAGACTTGGCAGTACATCTCTACTCTTGTATTCGAGCCCTCTCCAAATAAATATAAACATTGCATTTGCCTTCCTGCTTGTCAAACTCAACCTGTATGTTAATATTAAGAAAATACTGAGCTAGGACTCCCAACTAGGGCTGCTGCAGATTTCCAAAGCTTTTCCCCATTTAGAAAAATAGTTTATACCTTTATTCTTACCAAAGTGCATAATCTCATATTTTCCCAGGTTGTATTCCATCTGCCACTTCTTTGACATCTTGTTTAATCTGTTCAAGTCCTTCCGCAGCCTCACTGCCTGATCCTCCACGTATTTCGGTGGAGAAAATTTGAGCAATTTCAACAGTAAGACAATGTGATAATGTCTCGTGGGTGACGGTTAAGAGCTTCATCAGAACTCTTCTGAGGTCCGCAGTAGGGTCAGACATTGTTCCATTTAGGCATATCCTTTCTCTGTGCTTCTGCGTTTAAGCATCCAGTCATTTAGAGGGTGCTTACTTGCCTAACAGAATGGCAGAAATATTTTCAATCTTGCTTACCCAAGGTGCACCAATGTTGGTCAATGCTCATGATCTTGGATGAGCATTCTATATTGAACAAAACCTTCAGTGGCAAATGGACTGTCTGTCTCGTGCCAGTAAAGAGTTTGATTTGACCATTAATTTCAAGAAGACAAATGTCATTCTCAAGGATCAGTCAGCACTGATGATGTGACAGCGGAGTTTTGAGATTTGTTGATATTTCACATAGCTAGGTTCCACGATTACCAGCAATCTGTCATTGTAGCTGAAATCAACATGCAACGTTGCAAAATCTGCAATTATACCTGAGCTGTGTAAGAGTGTGGAAAAGATTGAGAACAGCATACATCAAATTTATCAGGTCGTATCCTCCATGTACAGATGAATACTGGGAGATCAGGACAACAGATGCTATTCAAGTGAAAAGTCTAAACCATTTCTACCTTCATTGTCACAAATACATTCTTGGCAAGACAAGATTACAACTTGGAGACCCTGGAGCACACTAATTTCATCAGAATGTACCCATTGCTAAGCTAGTGACATCTGAATGTGGCTTGGCTGGTGCATCAAATAGCTGGCAGCCATATACCAAAAACCCTTTTGTGCAGTGAACTGGCCACTAGGTTAGAATCTCCTGAGTTTCTATACCTCTACCCTGCTTGAAAATGTCTTAATAAAAAGATAGTAGACGTTCTCAGCTATGAGGAAGTCACTGATGACCATGACCTTTCACAGAGACTGGAGGATGACTCAATCAGAAACTGAAAGCTCAACAAGCTGAGAGAGCCCAGAGAAAGTCCAGGCTAGCCAATCACGGATCACTCGGCTACTGACTGACTCTGCAGCAAATGCCGTGCCTGAATGACAGTCCAGAGTCACACCAGTGTTGCTTAGTACGCAGCTGACCACCAAGGTACTGGTCATTGTCTTCTGAGATGGAAAACTGCCACTGAGTAGGATAAAAGTCTTAATTGGAAAATGAAGTGAAACTGTCCATTTCCTTAAATGTATGTATGTCAGCAAAATGAAGGAGCTGGTCATCAACTTCAGGAAGGGGAGTGGAGAACAGCCCCTATCTGTATCAGTGATGCTGAGGTGAAGATGGTAGAGAGTTCCTAGAAGTAAATATTCTCAACAATCTGTCCTGGTCCATCCACGTTGATGCTACAGTCAAGAAAGCACACTAATGCCTCTAATTCCTCAGAACGCGTAGGAAATTCGGCATGTCCGCAATGACTCTTACCAATTTTTATAGATGCACCATAGAACGCATCCTATCCAGATGCATCACAGCTCGGTACGGCAACTGTTTTGACCAAGATTGCAAATTACAAGAGTTGTGAATGCAGCCCTGTCCATCATGCAACCAGCCTTCCTTCCATTGACTCCGTCTATACTTCGTGCTGCCTTGGGAAAACAGCCAACATCATCAAAGACCTCTCCCACCCTGGTTATACTCTCTTCCTCCCTCTTCTGTCAGGCAGAAGATACAAAAGTTTGAAAACACATACCAACAGATTCAAGAACAGCTTCTTCCCTGCTGTTATCAGACTTATTAATGGATCCCTCATACATTAGAGTTGATCTTTCTCTGCACCTTCTCTGTAGCCATAACACTATATTCTGCATTCTGTTCTATCACCCTGATGTACAGTATGAATTGCCTGGATAGCATATAAAACAAAACTGAGTCTTAGAGTCGTACAGCACAGAGACAGGCCCTTTGGCCCAAACTGGTCCATACCAACCAAAATGTCCATCCATGCTAACCCCATTTTCCTGCACATGACCCATATCCTTCTAAACTTTCCCTTTCCGTGTGTTCGTCCAAATGCTTTTTAAATGTTGTTAATGTACCTGCCTTAACCACTTCCACTGGCAGGTCATCCATATGCGTACCACCCTCTGTGTAAAAAAAAAAAAAAAGTTGCCCCTCAGGTTCCCATGTATTCTTTCCCCTCTTACCTTAAACTGAGGCCGTCTAGTCCTCGATTTCCACAACCCTGGGAAAAAGACTGAATGCATTCACCCTATCCATGCCTCTCTTACACTTCTATGAGATTTCCCCCCTTAGTCTCCTGTGCTCTAAAGAAAACAGCCCTAGCTTGTCCAACCTCTCCGTACAACTCAGTTCTGGCAACCTCCTTGTAAATTTCTTCTGCACTGTTTCCAGTTTAATAACATCCTTCCTATAGCATGTAGGCCAGACCGAGTAAGGATGGCAGTTTCCTTCCCTAAAGGACATTAGTGAACCAGGTGGGCTTTTCCTGACAATTGACAATGGATTCACGATCATCATTAGGCTCTTCATTCCAGATATTTATTGACTTCAAATTGCACCAGTTGCCGTGGCAGGATTTGAACCTGGGTCCCTAAATGTTATCTGGGGCTGTGGATTAACAGTCCAGTGATAATACTATTAGGCCATCACCTCATTTTTCACTGAATCTCGGACGTGTAACAATAGTAAA